CCCCCCCCTCCCTCCCCGGCCCACACAAGCCCGGCCGGCCTCACCGCTCCCCTCGCTGGCCCCGCCCCGCCCGACCCACGCTCCGCCTGGCGGAAACAGGCACCTACGAGCCGCCGCCGCCTGCCGCCTCCAAGCAGGCGAACTCTTGGGAAGCGGCTTGCGAACGCATGAGCAGACGCCTCGGGGGCGCCGCGGGGTGAGGGGGGCGTGGGATTGCGTATAGTTTAGGAGGCTGCATGCTAGTTAGTCCATATTAGTCTGTCTTGTGAGAGTCAGTGCGTCGTGGCGCGAGGCTCTGGGGCCGCCATGCTTTGTCCTTTGAGAGGGGGAGACGTGTCGACGTTCAGAGAGTAACGGTCGTGGTGTGTGACTGCGAGTCGGTTAACTTCGTCTGTGTTCGTCGCGTGGCGCGTGGCTGAGTTCTGCGTATCAAACGATATACGCGGCTTTACCTTTAGATGTACGGCTTTCACGCACCTCTCTCCTCTGGGGGTGACGGACTGTGATCCGCACTGTGTGCTGTGGCTCGGCGTGTGGGCTGTGGCACGCGCGGGCGCACGCGAGACCCATGACGGCACTTGGAGGACTTGGAGCGTGCACTGGCGAGGCACTCCCACGCCTCACGGGGTCCCCCCTTGCCCGGGGGGCCGAGGGAACCCGAGATGCTGGGGCGAGCCCCGGCGAGACTGCGTCAGCTGTTTTCACAGCAGGCTGGAAGTACCTCGCGCGAGGAAATCTTTTTGCCTTCGCGCGCAACCCATCGATTCGTTGGAGGTGTATACATTGTATGCCTCCGCTCCGCCGCCCCTCCCAGGCTGTGCCCGACTGCCGAATCGGGTACATCCGCAGCCTTTGGCGGCATGCGCGCTCGGCCGACGCGGCCTACAAAGAGAAGCACTGGCAGCACCTGTGCGCCGCCATCGCCAGGCTCGCCGTCGAGGAGAGGCACGTTCCCGACCGCCACATGGTCCGCGACTGCATCAACGGCATCGGCGGCGCGACGCTGAGCCTCCTCGAGCAGGCTGAGGCCGACGGGCTGCAGCTACGCGCGCCTCCCCAGGGCCGCTACGCCTCTGCCGCCGCGGCGATGCTGGTGGCACTCTACGAGCACGCCGAGGCCGCTCCTCCGAGCCCCGGTCCGATCAAGTGCCCGAAGACCGAACTGCTGCGCCGCGCCATGGCGCTGTCGGAGCAGCCCTTTTGTCCCGCCGAGCGCCACCTCAAGCCGCCGGACGGCGCGGCGGGTGGGCGCGTGCGCTGCGCCGCATTCCAGCAGATGGCGACGCTGCAGACGCTGCTGTACGTCAAGGAGAGGCAGGACAAGCGGGCCTGCGAGACGGGCGTGGTCTATGAGCTGCTTGAGGCCGGGCGCGAGGCCGCGGCGACGCTCCGCTCCGCCGGCGAGGCGAGGCCCGCTGCGCCGCTGATGCACTCGGGCCGGCCGGGCGCGGGCGAGGCGGCGGTGCTGCTGCTCGTGGACGACAGAGAGCAGGGCGGCGCGTGGCGGGGCGCGGGGCTGCGCGAGTTTTGCGCCGCGCTAGGCCGGAGCGGCGCGAGGTACGAGACGAGACGGTTGGGCGACGGCGCGGGCGACTTCTCCTTCGTGGCCTGCTCGCCGGGCGGGCAGCGGCCGCTCCCTCTCTTGGTCGAGCGCAAGGGCGTGGACGACATCGCCGCGTCCCTCAAGGACGGCCGGTGGGGCAAGCAGCAGGAGGCGATGGCTCGGCGGAACGAGGCCCTCTTCGGCGGCGGCGCGACGGTGCGCTACATCCTCGAGGGCGTGCGGGCGGGCCGCCTCACGCCGTTTGGGTGTCCGTGCGGGAGGTGCGCGGGCAGGGCCGACCCGCCCGTCGGTGGCTGCAGCGCGAAGGGGTGGCCTTCGATGCGCCAGGCGATCAGAGGTCTTGTCGAGATCTCTCGAGATCACCCGAGATGACTTGGCCGTCGACGCGCCACAGGTGACGGAGGCGGTGGCTGCCCTCGAGGCGACACACGACGTGGTTCACACCCGCACGCCCGACGAGACGGCGCGACACCTCGCCGCAGAGCGGCAGCGGCTCGAGGACGAGCAGCGCCCCGCCCACCCCTCCTCCGCCCCCCCCTCCTCCGCCCACCCCTCCTCCGCCCCCGCCTCCTCCGCCCCCGCCTCCTCCGCCCCGCCTCCCTCCTCCGCCCCCGCCTCCTCTTCCACGGCCGCCGCGCCGACGGTGGAGAGCGCGGCGGGCGGCGCGGCCGGCGGCGCGCCCAAGCGCAAGCGCAAGCAGTCCTCCGCCGCCGAGCGGCGCGCCGCGACGGGAGAGCCGCAGCGCCCTGCCGGCCACGCCGCCAAGGCGCCGGTGCGGCCCGCCGACGTGAAGCGGGACAACAAGTGGCCCGCGTGGCGGTCATGCAACTTTGCCATCCTCGTCGCAATCGACCGCGACAGCCGGCTGAACCCGTCCGCCGGCGACGGCGGTGCGGCGGCGTACACTCAGCCGAAACTGATGGCGCTGGCGGCGTCGCGCGAGTACGGCGAGCCCCTCTCGGAGCACGACATGTTCGACGAGCGCTCCAAGGCGACCGGCCCGTTCGGGTACGACGGCTGGAGCAACGTGCACAAGGGCCTCCTCGCGGTCGAGCCTCCGTGGAGGCCGCTGCTGCGCAAGTACTCGGACAAGCACGCGGCGGGGGGGCAGTCGCGCCAGCGGTTCGCGCTGACCGAGGCGGGCCAAGCCCTCGCCGCGCGGCTGCACGCGGAGGCGGAGGCGGCCGGCCTATGCTCGTGCGGCAAGGTGACGCGGGCTCGCCTCTTCCCTGCGCCGCCAGAGGCGGGCGAGAAGAAGAAGGCGTCCGACCCGAAGTGGGCTCTGCCCCCCGGCTTGCGCCACGAGCGGCTGCCCACGCTCCGCGCCATCATCGAGCCGACTCAAGAGGGGAAGAGGCGGCCGGCGTACGAGGAGGCGGGAGAGTAACTAGGACTGTCCCTGTAAGGTGCCGGACGTGCCCTGCAGGCGAATGGAGTACGAGGCGGCGGCCGCCGAGTGGGACGAGACGGAGCGGGAGTTCCTCGGCCGCCTGCGGGCGTGGCGCGAGGGGCGGGCCGAGCCGCTGTCGGGTGCGGGAGCGGTGGCGGGTCCGTCGGCTGCGGCGGAGGGCCGCGACGACCGCCACCGCGAGACGGAGCTGCCGCCGCACTCGCCGGGCGGCAAGCGAGCGCGCCGACCGCCTCTCGCCGCGGCGGCCGCGGCTTGGGACAGGCTCTGGGAGATGGAGGAGGAGGAGGAGGAGGGCGCCTCTGGCGAGCAGAGCGAGGCGCAGGCCGCGGCGCCCCCACCGGTCGACGCGAGTCCGGCCCTGCCCCCGCAAGCCCTTCCCCCGCCCGTCCTCACCCCGCCCCGCCACCTCGGCGGCGAGGGGGCCCTCGTCGAGAACCTCGCCGCTTGCGGCTTCGCGCGCGAGCGAGCGCGGGCGGCCCTCGCGCGCTGCAGCGGCAGCCCCCGCGCGCGGCTCAACGCGGCGTTCGACATGCTGCTCGAACCCGCCTCGCCGCCGCGTGGCAAGCGCGACGGCGGCGAGCCGGAGTCTCAGTCTGTGGGCGAGAACCTGCCTCGCAACAGCCCCTCGGCGCGTCTGCAGCGGCGCGATGGCGGCGACTCGTCGCAGGCGGGGGGCAGCTCCTTGTGCCCGATCGTGCTGTGAAGGTCTAGAGGTGGAGAAAGATTCTAGCTGTTGACTCTCAAAACCTAACACCCACTCACACGTCGATCTCGTCGTTTGTCGTGGTTTGCGTTGCCGTTGCGAAGAGCGAGATGTGTCAGAGATATTGGTCCGGCGGCAAGAGGGCAAGGGGGCGGGGACCTGTTCCTTTTTACCACCCATCTCACAGTAGAGGTGACAGGTGTCCGTTTTTATCTATTTAAGGCTGGGACACACACACACACACACACACACACACACACACACACACACACACACACACACACACACACACACTTACACACACACTGAGCCCTGGTCTGACAGCCTGACCCCGAGCAAAAACCCCGGACAGGGGACAGCGCCTGACAGTGGTCAGTGCCCGACAGCCTGACAGCGCTGACAGCACTTTCTCCGACAGTCTGACAGCACGTATCTGACAGCCTGACAGCAGAGTCTGACAGTCGAGGTGCTCCGTCGCTGTCAGGCCCTAACGTGACAGCCTGACAGCTGCCCGACAGCCCGACAGCACACAGTGGCCTGACAGCAGCGCTGACAGCCCGACAGCAGCACAAACCGTACACAGTCAGACACCCCGTAGAGCCTCTTTCTTGTGCCCCATGAGGGTATAACAAAACTATTACATGCAAAGACATGTGAGTGTGGTCCATGTAGTCATGGGATGGTCATGGGTCTCTCTCTCAACCCTCCCGTCCCACACCTCTGCGCGTCTGCGGGGACCCCTGACCCCTCTCTAGCACCGGCGGCTGTGCTACTACAAATGAAGCTACCAGCTAGCCTTCTGGGGCCCTACAGTCATATGCCTACGGCGTCTGGGTGGGGGTGGCCGCCGCCGTCTGTGCCGCCGCCGCGGCCTGCGCCTGCGCCGCCATATGCTTAGGGGACCCCTAGGGTTCTGAGGGCCGGATTTTTTAAGACCTTAGCTTTTAAGAAACGAGGAGGTTTGGGGGCTTAACTTGCCATTTAAGAGATTGCAGGCACGGGGGGTCACTCTTTTAAGACCGTTTAAGAAAATCGGCCTCGCCGGCACGCGTCGCTGGGTTCCGCGCCGTTTTCTCCAATACTGCCGTTATATTAGGCACAAACCCGCCTCTGAAGACACATCTGTAAGTCTGGTGCACTGGCAGGAGCCATACTCGCATAGGGGACGCGTGCTAGCTGACTGTAGCCAGCTTCCCGGCCTCCGGCGTGCTACCGGGAGCCTCCCGGACCATCGACCTCGGGAGCTCTCCCGCACCGTTTAAGCGTTTAAGACCGTTTAAGGACGGCCCAGCAGCTCTTAAAACTTGCCATGGCAAGTTTTAAGCCGTTTAAGCCGCAGGCGCCCCAGGGCCCACCCTTTTAAGCCTAGGGGTCCCCTAAGGCCATATGCGCTCCCCAGGCGGCCGCCGCCGCCGGCGTGATCACGCCGTGTAGGAGGAGAGGCTGAGAGTATGTGTAGTAGTAAGTAGAGTCCTGCTGGTCTCCTCTCTTGATAGTGTCATAAGTGTGGCTGGTGTGTGTCAGAGCCTGACAGCCGACCCCGACAGCACCACCTGAGAGCACCTGACAGCAACAGCCCAAGGCAACGTCTGACAGCAGCAGCAGCCTGACAGCTCTGACAGCTCCAACAGCGTCTGACAGCAACACCCGACAGCTCCGACAGCACCCGACAGCTGCAGAGCACCTCGACTGTCAGACACGCACCCGACAGCACCCGACAGCACTGACAGCGCCTGACAGCTGGTCTGACAGAGGCACCTGACAATGCCTGACAGCTGCCCGACAGCCCGACAGATCACCTGACAGCACCTGACAGCCTGACAGCCAGGGCTCAGCACACACACACACACACACACACACACACACACACACACACGCTGGGCTCGCTTTGGACTCGAAAAGGTTGCTTCCCCCACAGGATTAGTCTTCTCTACTGAGGGGACGAACTAAGGGCGGCTGGGCGGGGCTGCGGCGCCGGAGCTAGCATGGCTCGTCAGAGCCGAGACCCCGGCGAGGCGGCGCTCCGATGCGGATGGGCTAGCCAGTCGCGAGGTTCTAACCGCTGCAGATCGGCGACAAATAAACTATGCCAGCGAGATATTCGGCAGATATGTGTATCTCCCGATCTCATCCCGGGACACGTGAGACGTGTGCCTCCCTTCTTGAAACACAATTTGTTTGTTCCCTTCTTGTGAGAGAGAGAGATTTTTAGCAATACCAAACAACTCTAACACTCACACGTCATTTGGGGCCTGGAGCCCTGTTCACGCGCGCGCGAGACGTGCAGACAGGGTTGCCAGGTGAGAGCTTTGTTTTTGTTCTTGGCGTTTCGGACGTCCCTTCCTTCGTTGTGTTCTCCCCGTCCGCCAGCGAGACGCTCAGTTGCTGGCGGCCGCAGTCTTTCTGTGACCCACCCACCTCTCCCTTGTGTTTTGTCTGGGGAGGGGTGTCTGCGGATTTCCGTCAAGCGCGCAAATTCTCTTCTCTCGAAGCCAAGCGACGACGAAAGCCACAAACCACAACGCGGTCACCTGCGTGATTCCCCCTTTTTGCTCAAATGAATCCAGTGCCGTCGATCCGCCGTCAGTCGGCGAGCGAGTTTCGGTGGCCGCCCGACCCACACGAGGGCTTTTGCTACAACCTCCTCTCGCCGCAAGCTCTCGCGGATGCCGCCAGCGAAGAGACTGGAACCACTGTAACCGTGGCGGAGGTGTGCTCGTTCTTCCTTGAGCGGAAGCCCGCAGCCATGCCCAGGGCCTATCGGGAGTACGTGACCAGATGGGCGGCTGATCTCGAGGCTGGACGATCTTCTCGCTCTTGATCTTCTCGCTCTTGTTGATGGACGTCGCGCTTCTGAGTCGCCCCCCACTCCCCGGTTCATCTGCCGCTGGTCGTGCTAGTTCACCGTCACAGGCACAGCAGTGGGACCGTGAGGACGGGCAGCAGCGCCTGAAGTCCACCTCTCCGGCATTCTTCTCGCGCAGAGCCACTCCTCGCCTTTCAGCCGGCGCAATGCCCTCGCGCCTCTGCTTCGACGTCCCAGGCCTGATGTCTTCACAGTTGTGCATCCGGAAACCACAGCTGCCCAGGCGGAACCATCGAGGGCGCTCGGACTGACTGCCGGGCCCGCATTCGACCTCCTGTCGTGCTTCCGTTTCCCTCTCGCGTCGGCCGCGACGTGCGACAAGGCGATAGCCCGGCCACGGCGCAGCCTCCCCGTCCTCTCTGAGATTATCGAAAGGTGAGGGACGGAGTATTCGACCAGTGCACACGGACGGACGACAATACGGCTCATGCGACATGCGCATTGCCGATCAGGGGCCCCCAGCAGTCAGCCAGCAGCAGCACAGGCCCCACAGCACCGCCGCACCGGCAGAGCTGCAGCTGCAAAGTCTTTCTGATTTCACTTTTCGTGTGTAGGAGCGTGGAGAGAGCACTTCTGGGCGGTAGTTGAATACGTAAACCTCTCTACTTCAAGAGCCCTCCCCAACCTCGCCACGCCTCCACGGACCCCACGCGCGATCTATTACCAGATACCACGCTGCTGCGCATGCAGCGTGGGCGCGGGCCGGCTCTAAGGAGAATAGACCACCGTGCGGGCCCCACTCCCTGTCGCCAGTCCAGGGCGATCTCGAGAGAGCCGGCATCGGCGGCAGGGCGGCGCCGCCTGCCCCCGCGACCCCTACCTTCCCTCCCCGGCCCCTCTACGCGCCCTCGTAGCTCTCAAGCCACGGAAAGGTGAGCACGACGACGGTGATGTCGTCGCGGTAGTCGCCCTCCTCGACCTTCCACATGTGGGTCGCCTTGTGGACAATGCTCCGGCAGATCTCGGCCGGGTCGAGGTCCGTCACCTCAGAGACCAGGTCCGCAACCTCCTGCGACTCGACCAGCTCCCAGACGCCGTCCGACGCGATCACCATGCAAATGTCCGCGTCGGTAATCTCGTGCTCGGTGATCTCGGGCTCGGCGATGACGCCGACGGTGGCGGCGGCGTGGTCGCCGATGGAGCGGGCCATCGCCAGCCCGCGCAGGTTGTGCCACACGCGCGAGGGCGACCCGTTCGCGCCGGCGGGAGTGACATGCCCGCCGCAGGCCAGTATCCGCTGCATCTCTGCGGGCGTGTCTGGCTTCTGGTCGAAGGTGATGTCGACCGCGACGAGGCGGTTCGACTTTGGCGCCTGCCGGCAGATGATCGCGCGCGAGTCGCCCGAGTTGGCCAGCCAGATGTGGTTCCCGCGCACGATGCTGCACACGGCCGTCGTCCCGGAGACGGACGCGTCGCAGTGCTCCGCGAGCGAGCGGTCAACCTCGCAGAAGGCGGAGCGCAGCGCCTCCCCCGGGTCGGTGGCGAGCGAGGCGTGCGCGGAGAGCACGCCCGGCAGGGTGTTGATCACGTACTGCGACACCACCTCCCCCACCCTCCCGTGCCCGTCAAAGACGCCTCCCACGAAGCACGCGTTGTCGCCCGCAAACGGCCACATCGCAATCGCGCGGTCCTGGTTGATCTTTTGCACGGCGCCGCCCGGCACCGGCTCGAGCCCCGCGACCGAGTGCGCGCCGCACGACGCCGTCGGCGGCACAGGCGTGCTCGGGTCCGTCGGCTGAGCGGAGGGCGCGCCGTATACGCTCAGCCGGCGTCGCCGCTGCGACGGCTCGGCTGTCTGCGCCACGGAGAGGCGGCGATTGCGGAAGGTCTTGGCCTTCCCGTCAGGGTTGGTGGCCACTGAGTGCTCGACCCCGGCGATGCCCGGGTCCTCCTCCCCCGACTTGGCGCAGGCTTGCCCCATGCCGGCCTTGCGAATCGGAGGCGGGCGGCGCGTCAAGCGGGGCGCGGTGGGGAGGATGGCGCGATAGCGCCGCGGGAGGGCGCGGGCGAGGCGGGGGCGTGGAAGGAGGCCCACGGTGCGCGGCCTTTGTCAGCGCCCAGAGGTGAGGCCAAACGGATGCGCGAGGGGTGCAGGAGGGCGCGCGGAGGTGCGGTGCGCGCCGGCCACGGACGC